TGTGGGGTATCGCCTCTATGGGGTGATGTAGCTGTTGAGAGGGAGGTTGGGGGGATGGAGCTGTGGGGTATCTGTAATCTGGGGTGATGGAGCTCTTGGGGGGCGATTGGGGGTGATGGAGCCACTGAGGGGGTTTGGAGTGCCAGAGCCATGGAGCCATCATGTTCCTTGGGGTGCTGGAGCTGTGGGGTATTATCCTGGGGTCCCATTCCTGTCCCCCCCATGTCCCTCTGCCCTGCAGCAGCAGCAGGAGGCCCTGGCCGCCCGTCGGCAGCAGGAGCTGGAGCAGCAGCGACAGCGGGAGCGGCAGGAGCTGGAGCAGCAGCGCCTGGAGCAGCTCCAGAGCCTGCGACCCAAGGACAGGGGCCGTGACAGTGAGCGAGGGAGCATCGGGGGGCTGGGGAGGGGGCTGGTAGCAATCGGGGCTGGGGGTGGGTTGGAGGCACTGGGGGCAATGTGCTCAGAGGGGGCAGTGGGACTGGGGGGAATGGTGTCAATTGAGGGTGGGGGGTGTTGTGGGCTGTGGGGTGGATTTGGGAGAATGGGAGGCAGCAGGATCTGGGGGAGAAGTGGAGCTGGGGACATCTGTGGGGAACTGGTAGTGATGGGGGGCTGGGGAGTGGGTGGAAGAACTGGTAGGGCAGCGGGCTCTAGGTGGAGGCAATGGGACTGGGTGCATCTCGGGGGGGACAGGTAGCAGTTGAGAGGCTGGGGGCAGTGGGGACGTGGGGGGCCGTGGGGGGAAGGGGGGCAATGGGGCTGGGGGCACCGGGGGGGGGCCATGGGAAATGGGGGCTGGGGGCATCTGGGGTTGGGGTGCTGGGGGCTGGTTTGGGGGGAAGGGAAGGCAATGGACCCTGGGAGGGCTGGGGTCTGTGGCAGGGACTGGTTGCAATTGGGACTGGGGGAGTCAGGGGGGTCTGGGGGCAATGGAGTCTGAGGTGGGATGAGGGGCTCTGGGGTGGGTTGGGGGCACTGAGGGCAATGTGCTCAGAGGGGGCAGTGGGACTGAGGGTGCTGGGGGCATCTTGGGGCTGTAGAGGGGATGTATTGCCCCTCTGACCCCCCCGTGGCTCCCAGGTGCCATCGCTAGCACTGAGGTGAAGCTGAAGCTCCAGGAGTTCCTGCTCAGCAAGACGAAGGAGCCAGGCCCCGGCCCCCCAAACCATTCCCTCCCCCAGCATCCCAAATGTTGGTAGGCCCCCCCCCAGCCCCACAGGACCCCCCAAACCACCTCGGGGGGGGGGACCCAGGCGTCCTAGCGGGGTCTCTGCCGCCTTCCCCTCCCCGCCCAGGGCTCACCACACCTCGTTGGACCAGAGTTCCCCCCCGCAGACAGGCAGCCCGGGGACCCCTCCGTCCTACAAGCTCCCCCTCCTCGGCACCTACGACGGCCGGGATGACTTTCCTCTCCGGAAAACTGGTGGGTGCCGGCGGGCGGGGAGGGCATGACACACCTCCAGGGGAGGTGACACGTTTTGGGGTGACACGTTTTGGGGTCCCCCCAGCCTCTGAGCCCAACCTGAAGGTGCGGTCGCGGCTGAAGCAGAAGGTGGCGGAGCGGCGGAGCAGCCCTCTCCTGCGGCGCCGCGACGGCTCCGTGCTCAGCGCCTTCCGCAAGCGCCACGTCGAGATCACCGGTGCGTCCCCCGGGGGCGGGTGTGATGGCATGGGCCACACGGGAGGTCATGGGTGGGGACACGTGTACACGTGTGTGCTTAGACACTCGCTGTCCAGAAGGAGTGTGCGTGTCTGCACACACGCTTGTGCGTGTGCGTGCTTCTGCACATCTGTGTGCAACGTGGGGACACGCTGATGCTGCACGTCTACGTGCATGCTTGTGCAACATGTGTGCTTGTGCACATGTTTGCAGCATGAGTGTGCACGTCACACGTGTGCTTGTGCAACAGGAGTGCGTGCACTGCTGCTGCGCACGCTTGTGGAACATGTGCACACACATGTACTTGTTTCTGTGGGAGATTTTTCGCATGTGCTTGAGCAACGCTCATCCCCCCCCAAGGCAGATGCTTGTGCAACAGGACTGTGCGTCCGCGCACACACTTGTGCACGTGTGTGCTTCTGCATGTGTGTGCTTGTGCGGCAGGAGGGCACCGTGCTGCTGCATGTGTGTGGAATGTGCACACACTGGTGCACACATGTGCTTGTTGCTGTGTGAGTTTTTTCACACGTGTGCTTGTGCAACACGTGTGCACACACATGATTGTGGACACACTTGTGCAACATGAATGCATGTCCGTACGCACCTGCTTGTGCAGCACATGCGCTTGGGCACGTGTTTGCAGCGTGAGTGTGCACGTGACCCCTGTGCTTGTGCAACAGGAGCACGCGCACTGCTGCTGCACACGCTTGTGGAACATGTGCACGCACATAGGCTGGTTCCTGTGGGAGGTTTTTAACGTGCGTGCTTGTGCAGCACGTGTGCACATGTGTGTTTGTAATGTGAGTGTGCACATCTGCACGTGCTTGTGCATGTGTGTGCTTCTCTATGTGTGTTCCTCTGCAACACGAGTGCACTTGTGTTCATGCACATACTAATCCATGCATGTGCCTTTGCGGTGGTGCCACACGTGTGCACAGGTGTGCTGGTGCCCTTGCACACCTTTGCATCGCCCTGTCCCTGAAGTGGGTGGGGGTCCTGGTGTCCCCATCCCCGTGTGTGACACACGCATGTGCTGCAGTGTCCTCGGTGTGCAGCAGTGCCCCCGGGTCGGGGCCCAGCTCCCCCAACAGCTCCCACGGTGCCCACAACGGCCTGGCCGCCTCTGTCCCCAACATCCACGCCGAGGTACAGCCCGAGGGGAGGGAGGGGCACTCGTGTGTGCAGGTGTGTGCTGGGGGTGTGCTCAAGGTGTACATATATATTCAGGTGTGTGTTGGAGATGGGCTCAGGGGGCACACGTCTGTGCAGGTGTGTGCTGGAGGTGTGCTCAGGGTGTACATGTACATTCAGGTGTGTGCTGGGGGTGTGCTCAGGGTGTACGTGTGTGTGCAGGCGTGTGCTAGGGGGTGCTCAGGATGCACACATGTGTGCAGGTGTGTGCTAGGGGGGTGCTCAGGATGCACACGTGTGTACAGCTGTGTGCAGCCAGCATGTGTGGGTACACATGTGTGCTCAAGTGTGCGGAGCCGGTGTGTCCATGTTGAGGGGGCACGTGTATGTTCAGGTGTGTGCTGGGGGTGTGCTCAGGGTGCACACGTTCAAGTGTGTGCAGCCAGCATGTTTGCGTGCACACATGTGCTCAAGTGTGTGCAGCCAGTGTGTGCATGTTCACGGTACACATGTGTAACCAGGTATGTGCTGGAGGTATGCTCAGGGGGCACATGTGTGTGCAGGTGTGTGTTGGAGGTGTGCTCAGGTGTGTGCTGGGGGTGTTCTCAGGGTGCACATGTGTGTGCAGGTGTGTGTTGGAGGTGTGCTCAGGGTGCACATGTATGTGCAGGCATGTGCTGTGGGTGTGCTCAGGGTGCACATGTGTGCTCAAGTGCATGCTGTGTGTTTAAGGTGCACACGTGTTCAGGTGTGCTATGAACGTGGTCGGTGTCAGTGGCATGTACTGGCACACACGTGCAGGTAATATGTAACTGATGTGCCCTGGCTCACACATGCTTATGGCGAGTTTTGCCTTGGCACACGCATGCCGATGGCATGACCTGCCCCCTACGCACATGCTGATGACGTGCTGTGCCCTGGCACGTGTGCTGATGGCGTGACATGCCCCCAACACACGTGCTGATGGCGTGTCGTGCCGTGTGGTGCCGCAGCAGCTCCTGCCCCAGCCCCGTGCCCTGGCCCTGGATGGGGCCCAGCTCAGCCTCTACACGTCCCCGTCGCTGCCCAACCTGTCCCTGGGGCTGCAGGCCACTGTCACTGTCACCAGCGCCCACCTCCCCGTGAGTGGGGGGCACAGGGACCCTCTGGGGGCATGGGGGGCGTGGGGACCCCGTAGAGTGGTCGCACAGGGACCTGGAACCCCATGGAGGAGATGTGGGGATGCTCTGAGGGCATGGGGACATGAGGACTCCGTGGGGGGTGGCACAGGGACCTGGCCCCCCATGGGGGGGGATGTGGGGACTCCCTGGGGACATGGGGACCGCACAGTGGGTGGCACGGGGACCTGGCACCCCATAGAGGGGATGTAGGGGTCCCCATGGGGACCTGGCACCAGTCCATAGAGACTGTGGGGGGACCCCAAAGAGGATGGCATAGGGACCGCATTAGGATCAGGAATCCTGTGGGGAGGGATATGGGAACACAACAGGGGGTGGTATGGGGACCTGATATCCTCCTATGGGGGGATGGGGGGGACCCATGGGGACCATGTGGGGACCCCACGGGGGTGGCACTCCAGGGGGCAGTGTGGGGATCCCCCCGCTGCCACCCATGTCCCCTCAGGCATCCCCCAAGCTGTCACCGCAGGCTGAGGGCGAGCGCCCGGGGGTGCCCCCCCTGCGCCCCGGGGCCGCTCTCACCGGGAAGTTCCTGAGCACGTCCTCAATCCCGGGGTGCCTGCTGGGGGTGGCCCTGGATGGGGACCCCCCGGCCGGTCCCCCGTCCCTGCTGCAGCACGTCCTGCTGTTGGAGCAGGCGCGGCAGCAGAGCACCCTCATCGCTGGTGAGGCCCCACTGTCCCCCAGTCTCGCCCTAGTTTCCCCTCAGTCCTTCCTCAGTTCCCTCTCAATTTTCCTCCAGTCCTTCCTCAGCTCCTTCCCCAGTTTTCTCCCAGTCCTGCCCTGGTTTCCCCCCCCAGTCCTTCCCCAGTTTATCCCTAGTCTTGCCTCAGTTTTCTCCCAGTCCTTCCATAGTCCCCCCACCCAGTCCTGCCCCACTTTCCCCTCAGTTTTCTCCCAGTCCTTCTCCAGTTCTTCTCCAGTCCTTCTACAATTTCTTCCCTGTCCTGCCCTGATCTCGCACTGGTCCTTCCCCAGTTCGCCCTCTGTGCTCCACTTTCCTCCCAGTCCTTCCCCACTTTTCCCCACAAGTCCTTCCCCAGTTCCCCCCCAGTCCTGCCCCAGTTTCCCCTGCCTACAGCCCCCCACCCTCACCCCCAACTGCACTGGGGGTCCCGGGGGGTGTCGGGTGCCCCACTGACCCGGTGCCCCGTAGTGCCCCTGCACGGCCAGTCCCCGCTGGTGACGGGGGAGCGCGGGGGGGGTCCCCGTGGGAACAAACTGCCTCGGCACCGGCCCCTGAGCCGCACCCAGTCATCCCCGCTGCCCCAGAGCCCCCAGGCCCTGCCCCACGGCCCCCCTCCAGCACCACTTCCTCGACAAGCAGCAGGTCCAGCTGGGCAAGGTGGGCCGGGGGCAGCCCTGGGACTGGGGGTGGGCATGGGGTGGGTATGGGGTGC